TTAAAAAAAAAAAAAAAAAAAACCAGAGGGTCTATCGCAACAGTAGAACTACGAGTCTATCGGTAACGGGTTATATAGTGCAAGGGTTATACCAGCAGTTAGTAACCCAAATACAAATGACACCCAACAAAAATCCCCAAATCGTACATGTTTTAATAGAGAGGCCAAGAGCATTACTCCAAACTTGAGCATCGACCAATAATCTTGTAACGATGGCAATAACATTATGACAACGCTGATGCTTAAGAAATCCCATCACAAGCGCATCATATTCATTCATCCTCTACATCGGCAACAAACTAAACACTTTAGAGAACCCTATAATTACAGAACCAACCTAAACACCTCCAAATGAGTGAAAAAAGAGAAGCAAAAATTTCAGCTTCTGCAAATCAACTCGACTAATATAAATACAAGTAGAGACAAAAACCAGAGCATAATCACTGTTCCTAAAAAAAAAAAAAAAATCAAACGCTTATTCCTGCACAATTTCATTCATTCCCTATATTGGCAACAAAAGGAACGAGACGCTTATAATCCCTCTTCCTTCCGAGAGCACAAGTATCAAGAACTCGCCCCAACATCAACCTCGTGTTCTGAAGCGCCACCTCTCTCTCCGACAACCCACTCTCGTTCACCCCAGGACCCGCTTGACCTCCAACACCAACCCCGAAAGCCGAGCCAGTCATATACTGCAAAGGCCCACTTCGAGCCTTAAATGAGTTTTGAGATGCAAGCATCATCCCTTGAAGAGCTCTCTCCATCCCAAATCCATTCTCGCCAAACCCAAACTCATCCATATGGCCTCCTGTCGAGCTGCTGCAGCTCTGTAGCAGAGCTTCAAGCACACTCAATGCCTCCCAGCACAATGTGCTTTCAACTAGCTGAGACACAATTGCATATACCTGTGGGCTTTGAGCTACATCAACCGGGGTTTGTTGAAGAAGCGCTTTCAGCATTAAAAGGATAACTCGCTGGTAGTAAACTGGCCCTCTCTCGAGGAGCCTCAGCAAGTGACTGAACGCTAAGGATGAGTGTTTTGGGAACCACTCGGCACAAATTAGCGGGGATGCGAGTGTGAAGAGATCTTCAGTGGATGTGATCTCACCTCGTGAATAGGAGAGGAAAACTTGGGCGAGATCGTCCAGAGATTTTGCCCGACACCAGAATGAGATGTTGGATGCGACCGAGCATGCTTTTTGATATTGCTGCTGTACAGGGCTCAGGTCTCTGCTGAGCTGTAGCCCGAGCCAGGGGAGTAGGCCAGTGATATGCATCAATAGCCTTGTGTCAGGACTTCCAAATATAGAATCACATGAGGGGATTGTTATACGAGAGAGGACTTCTATGGCGGTTACTTGGCTAACTGCTGACATTAGGCCTTTTAGTACAAGAGGCTGAACACCCTCGAATGCTGGCACTTTTCCTCTCTCTGATGGTAATGGCTCTCCCCCTGTTCTTGATTCTTGCCTGTTGAGCTCTGCTGCATCATAGCTGTTATTGTCAAGCTCGTCTCTAGGCATGCTTGAGAGTAGAACATTTTCAGTGGTACGATCACGAAATGATAAGCGATCAATTACTCTGGAGAAGAGCTCGAGTACTTGACAGTATATGTGCACAAAATCTGTGTGCATCATGGCAACACATCCCCAGAAAAGCTGCGGATAAAGGATCACCTTCTCTGGCTCCATATTTTCTACCATCACTTGAAGAGTCATAAGAATCTCCATAGCGAAGCCTAGAACAGCCGGAACTGGATTCCCCAAACACCTATGGAGACAACGAAGAAGCAGCACACAACTATCGCTCTTCACACTGGGCTTCAGTGCACGATAAATCTGATGGGAGCGGCAAGCAAGATGCCTCGATGTGCATTCCATTGCCCACTTGAGTGCTTCTGCTCCCCAAGTTTCACGGAGGTCCCCTTGGAAAAATATGGCATCAACCATGCTGAGTACAAGAGCAGAGAGCAAAGCGGCACTAGGGAGGTCTGGCTTCACAAGAGTTGGATCCTCATTCTCCCACATCAAGCTCCCACGCTTGGACTGGATGTACTTGATTAAACTTACTACTTGCTGTTTGTTTTCTCCCTCACTGTTCTCCACTCCATACAGTTCTAAATGCCGACCAGCAAGTGAATATAGAAGATTAACAAGAAGATGCTGGCAGTGTTCCAGCACAATGTCCTCTGAGCTATCCATGGAAACACACGTGACGTGAAAGAGCAAGGGAAGGTTCTCGCGGAAATCCTCATCATTCTCATAGGCAATCTCAGCAAGTAGAATCAATGCTATGTCAGCACTGGAGAGCTGATGTTGATTATGCCCTTGTAAAGCAGATTGAAGTTCATTGGCGTTTATGCCATGTATCCCACTACCAGAAGGATGCAAGAGATCCTCACCTGAGTTGGGGGTATCGATAAAGAGATCTCCACTATCCCGAGATACATGACGGCTCCTTAAATGACCAGTGGAACTCCTGACTCCCATCAATGGCCCAGACATGTTTATAAGTGCAGGAAGCAGCTGACCTGACCGTCCGGTAGTAGTGACTATGTTAACTTCTGGGGGCAGAGGGCTCAATGGGCCAGAGATGCTTCGGCCTGATACAGCTGAAGTTCGCCAGCTTAAATTTCCGCTCGCATTCCTAAGTGGGCCATCAAGGGATCCACGAACAAGCAAAGGTGACATATGAGGTTGGTTATCTACAACTGTTGCAATTTGAGCTGCAGTTGGCCCTTGAGAAAACTCCAAAACACAGTTTGCTGTTGCGTCCCCCTTACTTGGCCTAACTGGTTCATCAGTGTCCTCTAGCATTCTCTGAGATAACTCACAAACCAAATGATCAATGGTTTGCTGAGGGCAGATACGTGCAAGATATAAACTCACTCGTTTGGCAACCGGAAAGTATGTGGCGAAAGCTCCGCTTATTTCTGCTGATGTGTTAGAATCACAATCTTCAATACCTTGGGTGATTAAAAAGTTGAGAACTGGAATAATGTTGCGGGTATTGCTAGCCACAGTACTCCAAAGCTTTTCAATCTCATCGGGAAACTGATCTCCATGTTTCATTGTTACATAGTAAAGACTTTTCAGTAGCCTCTGGCTCCAGCCAGAATCCCATAATTTCTGAAAGTTGAGGTTCTCAATCCATGGGGCCATACAAGTCAGAACCTGATGCTGTGCAATTATATCCACTGCATCTAGTTGCCGTTGCAGGAGTTCTTCACACAGGCGCTCACTAAGCTCAGGATGGTCTTTTGCGAGCTTGGAGGAGAGCTTGTATTGAAACTGTTGGTAGGAGTCGGGGAGGTTGCCAACAACAGAAGCTCGGTAATGGCCACTGCTCTCAGTGTCATCCAAAGCCCACTCACGAACAGAGAGAGTTTCCAACATTTGGAGGGCATTATCACGGATATGTCTAGATGGATCAACCACCTTGTAGAGGATCAAGCTTAATATACTCTGGACCTCACATTTGGGAATTTCCTGGCGCATATAGACTTCGGCCAGTACACTAAAGTAACCGTCTGAAATGGACGAATCTGGAGAGTAGCACTAGAATGGAATAAAAGAAACTATCCATTAGATAGATAGTGTTACTGTAAAAAATGATGATGATATAAAATATAAATAATTGAACAAATAAACTTGAAGTAAGAAAAGCAGGGTCCTTTAAAGCTAAGCCATGAACGATCAGACAAGGCTCTTCCAATTTGGACCTGCTTGCAAGCCAACATTAGTAGGACACGTAGATCATTATCAACGCCATCATCTATGTCTTCTATTCCTTGATTAATTGACTATGGAACACAACTCAAAGTCGAGAAATCTCTTCAAAAAAATTGCAAATGAAGTTAGAAACCTCAGTATCAGATGTGGACTGCTGTTCTAATTTTCATTTTCTGGGCATTGCTAGTCATAATTTCAACGCTTTCGACAGCTTCAGATTAGAGTTTATTAGATTGTTGGTTTAAAAAATAAATTAAAAATAAAATTACTTTCAAATTTCAAAAATAATAAAGACAATTGGCAATGCTTTTTGACTAATGTAAGTAAACAGATGTTCTAGAGCACCCACCTATCCCTCATACATGAGATGTGCTCCTCTACACCAATCAATATCAAGGAAAAAAAGCCCTATAGGATGCTCGATTTGCTGATGGTGGAATCAAACTCAGTACCGCTTGCTTATTTCATCTAGCCACTTTACTTAATATTGGTACTGAGCACATTTTTTAGACAATTAATGAAGATTATAATAAGGTCCAAGGTATTATCTCTTTGAAGAATTTGATTATTGAGAGATGATTGTGTTGACCATTTAAATGGAATCAATTAGGAGAATTCACACGTTTAGATTCATCGGTTTTGTTGTTTATTTTCAAAGCAATACCTTCAAACCAACTTTTTGTTCCTCAAATATTACCGCAGGGTGCCAAACTAGCGCCTAGGTGCTAGGTCTAGGAGGATTCCTTTTTTTGTTTAAGTGGTGTCAGAGAAGGTTTCGGTTAAGGTCGGATAAGTTGGAGGAGGTGTTTGTAGTCCGTGGAGGAGGCCGGAGGAGTTTGGAGGTTTGAGGACGAAGAGACAGCAATGGAGCAGATGATGACCAAGACCTAAGTGTCGCAGTCAACGTAAGCGGCGTCCGCTCCACTAGCCGCTCCCAAGACCTAGGTGGGCTGCCTAGGTACCATATACACCTAGAGGCGGGAGCCTAGCGCTAGGAGAAAGCTTTTTAAAACATTAGCTACTAGACACTTTGTTTCTTTCTAAAACCCACCCATTATCTTCACAAGCACTTCCTCATAAGATCTTTTGAAATATAAATAAAAGAATGTAAACCTACTGACCTACCTATCTCTCAGTTAATCATTTGATTAGGCGAGTAGCTTCCATGGTTAACCTTCTTGTCATAAAATTAATTTTGCTTCAAGAGGGTGCAAAGAAAAAGTAAGCACATGATTCAATCACGGCAAATATATTAGATGGTAGAACATGGGATGTGGAAGCTGAACAATACTAGTATGTTTCATGATGGTAGAACATTGGATGCTATAACTTCACATTAAATAGGTTTATGCACTAGGAAAAGCAGGAAATTTCTTTCTAGAAAAAGTAAAATTCTGAGATATCACTTCATTGAAGTTGAGTAAGAGGTATTAAGTTACATAGTATTGAGCTGCCAAAATATACCTGTAAAATGTTCAATATAAGCTAAATTCCAGATGTGAAACTGGTATGAAAATCAGAAACTAAAACAGAGAAGCATGAAATGAGAAGCACCTGGTCAATGCAAGCTGGAAATAAGTCCAGATTTGTCTGAAGAAGATTTCTTAAAGCTGTTTTAGCTAATGGAATTCGTAGGTGCCCGCCTTTGTGTTTGTCACGTCCACCAGCTACACGGCTACCATCTGTGTACTTGGGATAAGGTGGTGCTCTAGGATCAGCTGGTGAACAGCCGAATGGTGCTCTGGGAGCTGAATCCTTAAACAAACTGTTAATCCAGTTTATTACCCGTCCAGACATCTTCCTTGCATTATCATCAAAACAAGGTCCATGTAAAAGAGAGGCAATAGCATTCATTGATGCCCATTGGATTGCCTCCACTTGTTCAAGTACCTCTTTATCAAACATGATTCTATCTATAGATTCCCTTGACCTATTATGTTGACCTGACTTGTAACGTTCAACTTCCCTGCGGTAGTCACTGCTGCTTTCTTGTCCCCATGTGCTTCCCGATTCATCACACCAGGTAATAAGGAGATCAAAAAGTCTCCTTCGAGCCCGTGTATCAAACTTTTCTGACTTTGAGTCCACAAATTCAGGAGCAAGGTATCTTATAACAGAAGCTAATGCATAACGAAGAGGCTGCAAGTCTTGGAAGCTATCAGAAGGTGAAAATGAAAGCATCCGGCATGTTTCATCAATGAATTTAAGAAAATGTAAACGAAACACAGGTTTACGGCCTAGCATCCCTGGCCAAATATTTTCAGCCACAGTACGGTGTATATTTGCAATGTGGCCACGAATTTCTTCCCGACGGAACTTCTGATTCTGCTGCATGTGAAAATTTGTAATTGGCATAGTTTCATCAAAACGAATTATAGAGTAAAAGTTGTACAGAAGTTAAAAAGCGTTGCAAGGAAAAAAAAATCTGATTTTCCGATAAGCTTAATCCCCACACATTTCAATAATGCTCATTATTCCAATTTTAAAAAAAATCAAATGTTTCTAAAAGTAGCTGTCAACAAAACTATGTAGCTGTCATCAGGCATGTTTATTATATGTGGGATGGTGTCTGCAACAGTTTTAATTTAAGACTTCAAGTTATGTTCAATCTACAAGGAAAAATCTATCACTCACAAGAACGGACAAAAAGGTAACCCTAAACTTCACAAGCTACTAAAGATGAGCACTAAACAACATTTTAAATGCGTAATTTCAAGTTTCTGCATTTTACTTATGTGAGCTGGTACCCAAGTAGAAAGATGAAAGTTCAGCAATTAGTTCTTGTACCTTCCATTTTGGCTTTCCCTCTGACTCTGTTGACACCTCTTCAACAAAAGACGAAAGCTCACCAAACATAATCTCACATAATTCGAGATGTGAACGACCAAGAGCAGTAGTCGCTGCATGCTAAAAAAGACATGCCCATTAATGATTTAAACAACATAGACTTTGCAATATCACCTCAATATATGCATCTGAAGGATGAGATGTATCACCAAATCATATAAATGTATTACATGAATCAGACGAGACATTTATGGAAAAGCAAATGAGTTCACTAGTTCATGCATTTTCAAGAGTTCATGATCAATTGGAGGCAAACGCAAATACGAACAAAGAATTTAGAAAGAACTTAATTCAATAGTTTGAAATATTGCAATTCTCTCATAACAAAATCAATAGATGAATTCAGCCTTTAATATGCCAAAAAAAAAGGCAACTAGAGAATAGCTTCAGGATATCACCCAGTAACAGTGTAACACAAGGTGGCTTGCAAATCTGAAGACAACATGCAAGATGCATGTTGAAGACTAATATGCCCATCACACATTTAAAAAAAAATGTAAGATACTGAAATTTATAATAAAACCAGCGACCGCAGTTGCAATTCCTTGAACTCCTTTCAGAGAGCATAAAGAAAAGGAATCGCAGTAAACTTTTCTTCAGTTAGACAAGTATTATCACCTCCTTCATGTCAATACAAATATGATGGAGACCCAGGAGCCACCTGACACTGATAGAATTATGATTCAATGTGTTATTCCACAATTTCTTTCTCTAATCTTTGCATTTTCACCTAAAAACATCAATTTTCCAAACCATGTGGACCTTGTTTTGCAGATCTTGATGTCAATATCTTCAAAATTTTCTAATAATTACTTCATGTGGCTTCTGGTCATTCTGATAATTTTAGAATTGTTTCTTGAGTTTTTGACCATTAACTGATGTTGATTTAATGTCTTTCGGGCATAGCAGGGATCAGCTAACTGCTAAGTACTGAGTTCCCCGGGGGCGGGGGCGGGCGGGGGGAACCCACCAGTCAGAACATGTTTTCCAGGCTAACCTACAAATTAAACAAAACACTGTTTGGAGAATTAATAGAAAACTTTTTGTCAAGCTAATAAAAAAAAGTATTTATTAGATATTCAAAAAAAATTCTTAAGAAGGGCCATGGATTTATCATCCTAAACATTTTATTCCTCATTAATTAACCCAAGTAATTAGAATTTTGGTTATAGAAATCTTCACAGACAGAAGTATCATCATGAGAACGTACAGCATGTGTCTCTGATCCATGCCTTAGTGATGGAAAAATGAGGTGAAAAAGCTCTCTAGCTGTTGTGATGCCCCCTTCTTCTCTACTGTCAGGTGGACAGGAGCATGCAAACAAGGCATACATTAGCCACTGATCCAGTTTGCTTTCTGCATCTTGTGATTGATGAGCCTTGCCACCTAATTCTGTGGGAGTAATATGAGCTAGTCTCTGCACAACCTCCAGCCTGAAAAAACCAACAAGAAATTACAATTTACAAAGGAATAGTAACCTGTCAAGAATAAGGTAGAACCACATCCCAGTTTTTCCATAGGTATATTAAACCAAAACTATTTAAAAAATCATGCCACTAAAATTACAAATGCATGCATATACGTTTGACAGAAGTTGTACCCAAGTAAAATTAAGTGGTATGAAAGCAAAGTCTTAAACATTGCACTCTAGTAGGATGCACTATTTATACACAGGACTTGCATCTAAACATATTAAATAAGTTACATACAATTGACTAAATAACTCAATAGTACCTGTCAATCATGTTTATCAAGTGGACAACTTTCAATTCTGACAGACAAGTACAACCCATGAATGTTATTATTAGAATAAAACTGCACTGGACAAGAGACATAATCTGAGCATAGGACATAACACTAAAAGAAGAAAAGCGAGTGTTACATAGATATATAGCATTGCAAAATACTACAAGACACTCCCACAGTCATTTCCCACTGAGTCTGTTAAAAGGGTAGTCCAATATGTTTTATTCCAGTAGAAACTCAAAAAATCTGTGAAAAACAATGTGACTCTCCCTGCCATTAAGTGCCTGTAGATGCATCAAGTATGCACATTTGCTACACATAAACGCAATTCACAACCAAGATCTAATACAAGATAAAGATGAAGAATAATATATTTTGTGCTCCCCAAATGAATGTTAGAAGGCAGGTTACGAAGTCATTATCGACTACAAGCAACAAGAAACCTTATAACATCTTCTCCCACATCAAATCTCTTAAGAATATAGACCATTTCTCCCAGGTGAAATCATTTATAGTGCATCAAAAAATCCCTAGGAATTCTAAACATCACCTTCTCCCTGCCAGTCCAATACAACCCAAGGAGAAGGCAATTCTACATATAAACTCCTAGGAGTGCTCTGCATCGTCCACCACTTGGTTTGGATACCTATCCAGATAATTTATGAATACAAGACATAAGGCAACAATATTGTGCATTTATCTGCATACTAGCATGTCAGAATTAGGCAGCAAGTAATAGACCAGAACCTGCATCATCAAAACTTCCGGTTGACACAACAGAGTTGTGAAGAACATAATGGAATGTTGAGAGCATCATAATCAACAATTACCTAACATCAACTCATCTGCAATTTCTACAGGGTATGGAACTAAACCACCTGTCGATTGGACTGACTCATAAGATTAAAAAAATTCTACAATTTAATAAAAGGTAAACAGGAAGGTTCACTTTGCAAATGGTTTTGGTTGACATTAAGCAGTATGCAGAACACCCACTACATTGTGCCCGTTCTTAAGATTTCATCATTTAACCAAACGTAAGCAACAGTTTTATCAATTTATGCCACACGAGAAATTTAACAGCATTAGTCAATAATGTGTAATCAAGGCAGGCACCAAAAGTTTTATCATCAAGTCAAGTTAGAGCATGCAGTATGGAGATGATTAGATTTCAAATTACTTTATCGAAATGAACTATAAGTTACTTTTATAAAACCCCAATTTAGCCTCAAAACAAATCCAGGACTAGTACAACAAAGAAACAACTCATTTGCATTAACCACATGTACAATTTGCATAATAAAATAAATAAATAAAATACCACTTACCTCCAAAATTTCTATAGATCTATCCCTCCTTAACGTCGCATTAAGAATTGCATCGAGGAAGGCATATTGCAAAAAGACTTACTCATCAGTTAAATATTCACCTCATCCAACCTCCTTCATTTATTTTTTTCTTTGTTTCTTGTATCACTCCTGGTTTACTTTATCCAGATTCCATAACCTAATACAAGACCTCTTACTTCCTTGCTTCCTCCTAAAACCCAAGGACTCTAACCATACCACACCACTAATACCCAAATCTCAAGAGCGTAACCTTAAACCTACCTTCTCCTCCTTGCTCTTATAGCTAGCAGCCCCAACTTATTGCTCCATATTTAAATTGAGAAGGAAACCCAAATGTAATCTTAAGATAAGAAGGACAACATCATTTATTATAATTGATATAGGCACCAGCTTTGCTTCAAACCCTCCGTGGTCTTAGCACCCTTAAAGCACATACTAGAAGTAACTGTCTGTGAGGTAATAGAGAAGTTTCTAGTTTGATAGGCGGGTTAGATTCTTGGTTGTAGATTTAATAACAGGTAGTCTTGGTTAGGTAAATGAGTGAGTTTAGGGCTTGGGATGTGACATGTCTTTTATTGCAAAATGTCTTTTTTATTTGAAGAACTGCCATTTTCTTGATTAATCACCATTTGTGGAATATTTGAAGCATAGCATTTCAAGAAAGGTACGTCTGATTTAAATAAATTGAACGATACAACATAATTTCTACAATTTTCAACTTTAAATGGACCAAGGGTATTAATGTCAACTTCTAAATGCCCTCTGAGTCCATGAGTTTGTTTTCTGAAATTGTGAAAAGTGGTGGTTACATGTACTAAACTTTGTACGGGGAAGTTAGTTTTAGCGGTGAAAGTTGACGCCTGTAAGTAGTCTCTTATACTTTTACTACATAACTTTTGAAGAAGATAAAATAGTAAACTTTTCCAAGTTGATAATGACATGAAGAGAACAGGTAAACTCTAAATAATCAGAATTTCCTTGCCTTGATTCACGCACAGAATTTGGGCAAAGTTCACCAGCATATTTGACTAGCTCACTCAGGCATTTAGCCCATCGGTTCTTATCTGGGCTTTCAAGAATAGATAATAATGTCACATCAGGAGGAACAGGATCAAACTCCCTCCTTAAATCATAAGGTCGTCCAGAGTCCCAGTAGCAGCTCTGAACGATGTCATCCTGCAACATTAAAATCTTAAAATCCATGCAGGCTATCATACAAGACAGAAGGAATAATGAAACCGGTCATTCACTGAGAGATCTCTTAAATCATTTCTCATAAATGATTTAAGAGCAAAGGCTGACGCACCAAGAAAAGAACTTACCCCATTTTCTTCCAACACATCAATGATCAATATGGGTTCTATTTCATACTTCAATCTATTATCAAACCGGTCATTCACTGAGAGATCTCTTAAATCATTTCTCAGAAATCGAACACAACGCAGCAACTCCAAAGCAGTATGCCGTATCTGAACATCCACAGAACTGAGAAAAATAAGACCAAGTGAATCCATTTCAGAAGAACGGAACTCAGATGGATCTCCTGATTGAGGAAAAGGTGACTTGAGGGACATATCACGACCCAAGCTTAGTTGTTTCATATTTTGGGAATCATTCACTAACATTTCTTCAGCTAAGCAAGCCCTCCACAAACGCATAAGTTCCACTAAGCGGCCCAGTGATGTTTGAATGAGAAGAGGAAATTCATCAGGAAGTTTCAGTATAAAATTAGCCATTCCCTTCATTACAGCATACCGACGATGAGGAAGATAGCGTACAATCCGGTTCATCACCTGCACTGCTTCTTCACGCACACCAGGATCAATGCTTATGCCATGCTGAGGAATGATTTCAGTTATTTTATCACTTCGACCGACTTCTTCTATTAAATAAGGTATGCACTTCAGCACTGACCTAAAAAGGGACCCTTGAGATTTCTCCTTGGCTACAGTATCTGGAAAAGTTTATCAATACAGTTCATATGAGCCTATGAATAAATACTCCGCATAGAGTTTTCCAGACTAAAGATATGAATATATAAATACATCAAACATTCAATATGATGTTGATGAAGAGAGAGACTGAAGTTAGATGTGCATCCAAAACTTATCAGATGTCAAAGAGTTTGAACATTACCAGAATCTGAAATATGCATTGGTTAAGTTGCAGAAAAATGGAACTGCCTATTCAGATAGGAAGGAAATCATTATACTATATATAATATATATATATATATATATAAATATATAGAGAGAGAGAAGAGAAGAGAGAGAGAGAGAGAGAGAGAGAAATGGGTATGCTTGGTACTAAGCACAAAAGGTTGTGCTTGGTAGTGAGGTGGCATAATCCCTCCACTCATTCAAATGGTTGCATATCCCCATGTACTCCTCAACCCATGTGAATGGATCCTCTATTTGAATTAGTGGAGAGGATTGTGCATGCCTCACTACCAAGCACAATTTATGCTTGGTACCAAGCATACCCATATTTCTCATATATATATATATATATATATATATATATATATATATATATATATATATATATATATATATATATATATATATATATATATATATATATATATACTATATATTATATCATATATATTTAGACCAAGCAGCGGTGCCTGTGCCGGCAACACATGTAACTAACTCACCTATTGGAGGAACCTTCAATGTTCGTACCTGCTCAAAAAGCAAGTTTTACTGTAACTTGTGAGTTGTGTAAGTGCTAGAATGTTTCAAATCCCACTATAGAGGAGCTTTCTGTAAAATGGTCATTACCATGCCCCAACATGTACAATATTCATCTAGAAAGGTAGCATGATGACTAAACAATATAAGGGGAAAGTTACATGTTTGATAATGACAGACTGATGATATAATGAAAGTTGGTTAGGACTTGGGAATGATTCTGTGAGTGACAATCTTACTTTGTCGCAACTAACTTGATCTGAGTGTCTGAGAACTACAACAGTCACATGATCAAAATCAGGATGAAATTGATATTCAAAAGAACCGTCTAGAAAATTTTCAGTGCAAAGTTGTGATGCTGCAAACCTAATTCTTGCTTCCTTAATTTTTGCACATGAGGAGGTTCCTTGTGATAGTAGGACATATGGAAACAGTTAGAAGTATTAGTTTATTAGGAAAATATGTGTTTAGGTATATGCGTTTAGTATCATATTGCCTAGAAATGAAACATTTTCGTCTTGTATCCCTACACAAAGGGATATAGTAGTATCCTCTGGCAATTAATGAGAATCTACAATCATTTGACTGTTTAAAAGAAACTAAGAAAGTTTAATTTGTTTACTTCATAGTATCTATAAAAATATGTCTTTGCTTCTGTTGAAATAAAAGAAAGAGAGATGAACTTTCTATATTCTTAGTGATTTTAAAAAAGATGTTAATACCCTATATTTATACACTTTGTAGAACACCAATAAAAGTAAAACTCCAATAAGGAAACCTATAATAGAATAAAGTCCTTAATAAGAAGGAAATCTGTAATAAACAAGAATCCTAAATAAGAAGATAAATATCTTCTAATGAAGGCAATGAATCTTCTGGATCCTCCAATAGCAGCTAACCAGTCATAAGGAAAATATATCTTATTTAAACCAGATAACCAATCAAACCAACGTCCAGCAGATATCCACATGAACTAAGGTAGAGATTAACTACATATATTGCCTTCGTCTACGATACAGTGTCATTGCACATTTATCATGTGTTATTGCTCTGCTCACAGAGTCAGAACATGCCAGTTCATAAGTGTGATGTATAGTTTCAATCATCATGTTGGAAAGTAATCTGATGTCCCATCTACACTCAAAGTGAATTTTCTTAGGCCAGTGCCCCCATATAGGTTCCCCAGTAAGCCTCTTTTATAATGAATGATTCAGCCACCTAAATGACTATTTTATAAGATACTCCAGAATATAACGACAATCGTACATGGATGTCGAACCATCCCATGTTTCTCTTTTACAGCTAGCGGCCAATTGCTTTATTAGTAACATGTTTAATGAGTCTATAAAATGCTCAAATAATGAATTATCGCAAACATCCTCTTCAAAAGCAAATCCACTTGCAAGATAAACTAATCAGCCACATCCCTCTTGCAACTATCAGATACCTTAAGATCGTACTGGATCTGTTCATAGCACTAATTAAGCATATCTAGTATCTGTGAAACTGATGGAAAACGATACCTATTGTAGCCTTGGATGAAGTAAGAAGAGCTAGGCTGTAAGCTCTATTGCAAGACCTCAGGATTGACTCAATTGCAGATCTCACTTTTGGAATATAGTGGCCAATATCATGATCTGAAATTTCAACAGAGTAAAATTAGCATCAAAACAAAAAAGCAGCTCACTTTGGCTTCAATGAAGAATATGATACCATTAAAAATCTCCAAACCAGGACGCTTGTTTGAGGAAGACATGGCGATGGCAAGCAAAGCCCTTAGACCGATAACTTTGGCTTCACTTGAACTATCCGGTTTCAGAAGCTCCAGTATCATGTGATTCATGGAGAAATCCAGGTTGCTTTCAGCTATAGTAACACAAAACTCAACAAGCTTATCATGCTGAATATCTTGTGTTAGCAAGCCTTTCTTAAGAACAGTCAGTAACTGAGAAGTTACGCTATCTAAATAGTCCCACACACGATTTCTAGGTTGATAATCTGCATAAATACTTAAATAGAACTTTACAACCCGATGCAGACAGTCTAATGCCATGGAGCGATGACTTTTATCCTGCAAAAGATGGCATATTCTGTTAAGTCTTCGTTTGGAAGTAAAGAACAGAACACTTGTTAATTGATCAAAATCCCATATGAGAGTGCAACAACAAAGGATGTCCATTAAAGGAAACAGAATTCAGTTTTACATGTAAATAAACTGCACATTAGCATAACTCACTCTTAGCTGCTTATACAAATGCTCCATATGGGGACCAAAATTAGTGTTGAAAGTTTGTGGATCCCCAAGACAAAGAAGAAGGGTCACCAATGGAAAGCCAACCTGGAAATGAAGGTTTGTTAAACAGAAAAAGTTTCAAGAGATACCAAGTATACAAATGCATCAGCATGCAACTTCCCATGTAACAAGCAATTAAAAATCTACTTGGATGAATTTAAAACATTATGCTAAAAATCAATAAGGGTTGCAAGAAGAAAGCCATTATAGAAACAGAACAAGAATCACAACGCCTTAAACCAAAGTTTCACCTAGAAACAGGACAATAGCAGCCGAATTTTTAATCCATATTGCATCGTAAGCTACAGCAATCCAAAGAATAAGCTATTATATACTTGCCAACGATAAGTATGAAGCCAACTTAATCATTAACGTCACGAGCGCATCTTAGCCCTTTGGTTCTACCAAACATCTCAAGAGTGTAATTTCATGAGAAAAATATCATCGATACACCTAATTCCTGTATAATGCCCATCTCTTACAACTACTTTGTAATAAGAGAGCTGTAGAAGCAGTATCCTCGCTTATCACAATATTTTTCGAGATATCTTTCATCATTATATTATGAGGATAACATATTGTTATTGGCTCAACAGGACAGCGAGTGCTACAGTTTCCCTTCGGACTTTTACTTGCGTCTGATGTTAATCCCAGATGACACCTTCAACCATTAGTACAAAAGTAAAAATAAAAAACATCAGATCCAGCAATAAATGAAACTCAAAATATCTACTTACCGTTAGATGTTTGCTCTGTTTGTCCATCCAATGCATCAGCTGTCCTCTAATTCGGCCAACAGCTTCATACCACAGAGTCAATGCAGGATCTACACCCAAAGGAGGCCAATTGCTTTTTCCACCCTCTGCAAGCGGTGCCAGTATGCTTGAAAGCATATTGCATAGGGCATGATGAAGTTCACTCTTTTTCCTATGGGCAGCACGATTAAGAGGGTTTGCTTTCAATACAAAGGATGCTGATGCATTCAATCCACCTTCTGTCTTAACCTAGCAGAGTTAAGAGATAGATCAGGTAATACCATCAAGAACAAAAGTCTTTCAAAATTATTTATGATTATCACAGCTTAAAGATATAATCAACAATATAGAGTATGTTTGGAACCATGCATTATAATCTACTAGGGTTATAATCCATTTGCGGATTATAATCCAAGGCCTCGTTGGGTACGCGGGAAATGGGTGCTCATTCCCACTTCTCATTCATGCTTACCAAACACAACATCTTTTTGGAAGCTAGAATGCCCATTCCGAATGATTTGGTAGGGAACAGGCATTCCCACTTAAGTGGGAATGAAAATATTAACTTAAATGCCAAACATATCATGACTGCTTAATAATTATCCATATAAAAAATAAAAAAATTTCATTCCCACTTTATTCTCTAATCACATCCAAACACGACAATGGAAATGGGCATTCCATTCTCACACCCATTCCATTCCACTCCTTCATTCCATTCTCACTTGATTTGATTTCATGTACCAAACAAAACGCAAGTGAACTATAATCCAAGTGTGTGGAAAATTAAGTGGATTATAATCTGTTTTCAAACTTTACATGTTTGGGCCTACCAAATGAGTGGATTATAATCTCTCATTGTTGTGAAAATGACCAGGTGGACCTAGTGGCTGAGTTAATAAATGGGCTTGGGAATTTTGTGCAATCATGAGGGATAAAATTGTCTTTTAATTGCTCAAACTTAATGGATTGTAATCCACCAAAAAATAAGGTAGGCTATTCTAGCCTATATTTTGGTGGATTATAATCCAAAATAATCAACTTGGCAAAAACTAAAAAAGTGGTTATAATCTACAAAAGTGGATTGTAATCCACTTTGACCATTTGCCAAACATGCTCATAGACTTTCCACTACTCCAAAAAAATATGAAAAATATCTGTTCAATTATGTGCCTTCTACCAGTATGAAAAGCTCCTCTTTGAAGGTAAGCAAAATTTACTTTTTCGCCTGGAAAACCGTGCCCAAACAATACAGGTAAATTGCTTTAAACAACCAAGCGTTATGTTTATCTCTATGGCTATGTGTGACCACGGTTTCGTATAAATTTCCCACAATGTTTTGAATATTCCAGTATCTATTACTTACTTCAAGTGGACCAAAGTTTAAAAGGATCTAAACTACCATTATTGGCAGAAAGGCAAAAAAGAAGCATGCAGCAGAATGATGCCAAAATATAACCATGGCAATGAAAATTTCATGGAGCCTTAAAAGGGAATGTAATGATTCTTAAGGCCACGTAAAAATGATGACAATAAATTGTGCACAAAGAGACAAATAGACAACACGTCTTGTGTATACTATTTATGTGTATATGTAATTCCAGTAGCATATTTGATACGTGATGCAAACATATATGTGTAGACATCTGTTGTGCAAGTTTTTGAAGGCCTCTAAGAATATCTAATGCAATAATACTCCTATACAAGTGGACTAAAAGTACTATAGATATCACTCTCATCTCAATAATTTCTCCATGTTATAAAAGCAAAATAAATTTCAGGATATGGCCTGTCACTTTCTACCATAACCATCTGCATTGAAATCACAAAATATTTTTGATGAGAAAAGAAGGAAGTCGATGTATACCCCTAATTTAAGGTAGCGCATTCCATTAATTATGCTCAGTGTCTCGCTTCTTGCAACACTAGTATCAACACGCCGTGTGTTCAGCTCCATGAAAAAACGTTCTGTCACAGAACTAAACCTGTATTGGATACGAAACAGGGAAGTCATCTCAAGTAAGCTTGATGTGGAAGGCCATAAACTCAGATTCACAAACATTATATTTGGAAGCAGCAGGCAAAAAAGTGTTGTTCCACCAATCCGTTTCAAAGTACATCTCATGTATTTTCTGCCTTGGTATAAAGGGTAGCACGTACACTTTATTGCCAATCATATACACTGTTAATTGAAGAAGGAACTGGAACAAGTATGGATACGAGATGCACAAGATAACACCATGAAGTTAGCAATGAAAAGATCCACAAGAAATTGTCATCTTTGATGTAGACTGGGTTAGCAAGAAGATACAAATTAGATAGAGAATATCAGGAAAATCAAGCAGCATGGTACACAAGTACACAACATTGAAGGATAAAAATGTCAGAACCATGAATGTGCAATATCAGCTCCCAACCCATCAAAAACGAAAAAGGAAAAAACATTAAAAAAAAGGAAAGATACCTCACCCTTCACATTCGGCATGATTTAACAGATATGAATTGTATGGTTCAATTTAGACATGTTAACTTCCCGTTTAAATCAATTGATCTACAGTTATTCAATTCAAAAATGTCAAATATAGAGCATAGGGCATCTCAGAGCCTACATGTTTGATATGATTGTCAAATATAGAGCATAGGGCATCTCAGAGCCTACATGTTTGATATGATTTAAAGTTTTGAAGTGTGGTTCAATTTAGACATGTCAATTTCTCATCTAAATCAATTAATCTATAGCTACTCAATTTATAAATTTCAAATACATAGCATGAGGCATCTCAGAGGCTACATCAAGAGTTCGGTTGATCCAGAACCTTATTTGATAACAATATTAAAGAAATTCATCTACAAAACTTTGGATTCTAAGCAAACCCTAGAACAAGAATACTACTAAACTTTTGAATTTCCGAAAAATATATATAACCTTCTAAAGAATAAAAGAGTGGTTAGTAACTTAGCATACCTGATCCTTGACAAAGCACCTAATAATTGTGCGACAAGGTCTAATAGAAGTCCTCGCAGGTCTACTAATGAAGGATATTCAACCTGGCTAACAACCCTGCAAGCAAATCAAAATGTAAATTTTCAGCATAAATTGTGCAACATGAGTTCATTATAAACTTGCATGCCTCTCGTCTAAAGTGAAACCAGATTAAAAAGACTAAAAAAGAATCTAATTTGGCGAGAGAAACGAGGTCTTCTGGACATTAACTGTGTGCTATACACTACACACCATGTAATATGTGATTGTATGAATAATCATATGTGACAAACAAGCACAAGTATAAAAAAATTATCATATGCTACTCCCATAAGATTACCTCTCATCACTATATTTCCTAGCTTCTTACAAATTTTCTCGATTATCGGAAGTAAACAATTCTCTGATATTTCGTTTTTTCTAAAACTAGTGTTATCCAATGCAGCAATATGCTACAAATAGGAAAATGTAAATCATCTGATCTTATGTGCGTGTGTATGAATAATGTATATCCTTGTCATCTGAGGAGTTTCCCTCATATAACACAATGATGTGGCGCATTCTTTACCAAGTGAATAAAGGGGAGAGAAAAACTCATAACCACACTTGGATGTGATCGGGCCACATCATTATATATGAGAGAAACCCCTCATATGACATATGATACCCATTAACCTCCTCTATATATGTGTGCGTGTTCATATATGTAATTATATATGTGAAAATATAAGTATGAGGTGGCGGCTCATTTTGCTACACACCATGTAGTATGTGATTGTATATATACTCATATGGGGCAAACAAACACAACTATAAAAAATTATCATATGCTACCCCCATAAGATTACCTCTCGTTACTATATTTCCTAGCTTTTTACAAATTTTCTCAATTATCGGAACTAACTGCAATTCTCTAATATTTTCGCTTTTCTAAAACTATTGTTGTCCAATGCAACAATATGCTACAAATAGGAAAATGTGCATCACCTGAGCTGCGTAGGAAACAATGGGCCACACAAGAGTACAAGACATTCACCAATTTGCTCCAAAGTCACAAGCAGTTTTAAGACCCCAAAAAGCGACAAATCAAGCCGCTATAGCGCCGTTAATCGCAGTCGCGGTGCTTCACCGCGCCGATAAAGGGGATAGCAGGGTGTTTTGGTGAAGAAAACTGCATTTTGCTCGAAAAGCGGTCTAAAGCGCAAAATCGCAGGTTTTAGCGCTAAACTCATCTCTTAAATCCCTCCCCGAACCCGACCCGAAACCATTAAACATAAACCCATCTCTCTCTAATTCCTGATTGTGCCCTAGCCACGTGCTCTCCCTCTTGTGCCTCTCATTCACGTCCTCCGACGATGACTTTCAGCTTTACCTCTGGTCAACGCCGCTGGCAACATCTCACGCACCAGCAGCACGTCCGGTCAAGCCCATCTCTCTCTCACGGTCTCACCTTTCTTTCTCTCATTTCCTCCGACGATACCAGAACTTCCCTCCAGCAACACTTTCCTCTGGCAACACCAGAACTTTCCTTCGGGAACACTTCCCTCTGGCAACACCAGAACTTCCCTCCGGTGACCAACATCAACAACATCTCCATCTCTATTAGGCTTCGTCTGCAACAGAGAGAAAAAAGTAATAATTTGATTTTTGAAATCAAATGCTTGTTAGTTGTAAATTTCTTATAATTTACTAATTTAAATTTTACCTATAGTAACTTATAGCAATTAGCACTTAGCACTTAGCAGATTATGATTGTACTCGAACTAATAATTATGATTATTCAATTATTCATTTACAATTACAGTTTACATGTTTAGGCATCAAGTCTGTAATTGTAGAAATTTTAGATTTTTATATGATTTTTCTTATTATTTAAAATATTTAAATATATTTATATTTGACCGCTATTTGACTATACGCTATTTGCCGCTATTTTGCCGGGATAGCCCCAAATAGCTTTAGTGGTACTTTGCCGCGACGCGACGCTATCCGCTATCAGCAACATTGATATACATACATGCATACATATATGTATGTATATATATAGAGAGAGTAATGATATTGTGAGCTAGAGAACTCAAATCAAACCTTATCGTGAGCTAGACTAATCAGCTTGTCAAATTCAAAATCAGCTCCGTACATCTTGTTCAAAAACATCATCAAATGTACATGATAAATTTTTCATAAAGTTTAGAGTCTTCTAGAATAGGAATCAAACTAGTTTAATATGTTAATTTTTCAAACAGCTTAATAATCATCCCTTTTGCACATAGATAAAATAATGATTAAAAAGTTACTATTGTATCATTCTTTTTGTAAGAGGAATGAAATTGAGCTTAAAATTTATATAATAGTTTATTGATCATCATTTATGATATGCCACTACCTTACTTACAATGTGTTGCATTTTGATTTTCTTTTAAAAATATTATATGATTTTTAAAAAGGTTACGCGTGAAATTTTATATTTAAGAAGGAGATGGAGGAATGAAAGCAATGAAACCTTCTAGAAAGAGAAGATTGAAATTTAAATTTAGAATAGAGGAGGAGGAACTGAAATTTAAACGTAATGGAATCTTCTAGAGAAGGGGTTAGGGAGGGAGGAAGATATGAGGCCCACATCAGTAAGGTATTGACAAATGACCAAATTGACCTTAACCTTTACTAAAATGAATCAAATGATCCTCTATTCTCTAACAATTTGAAGGAATAGCTACTCGTTCCTCCACTTTTTCCTACCCTCACAATGTTTTTTATTGAGTAGTGTGTATTTGAGATGACAACTTATTTTGCTAAATGAGCTATCAAGAGATAGTGGGGCACATCCTGATAGTCACATCAAAAAGTGTGGACTTTACAATATTATCTCTTGGTAGCTCATTTTGCCAAATGAGCCGCCACCTCATACCCTCAAACCCTATATGTGTTATATATAATTATATATGTGAAAAAATGAGTATGAGGTGGTAGCTCATTTTGCTATCTATGCCACTAACAGATGGCCTAGTGGCAATGCCCACCTTGCTTGTCACATCGAAAGGTATGAGTCTCTCCACTCTATTTCCCAGTAGCTTATTTTGCTAAATGAGCTACCACCTCACATCCATCCAACCAAAAACATGCACATCTACCCACGCACGCACGCACATATACATATACATATACATATGCATACATACATTCACAATATGTGTGTACATAGTACACATTGAGATATATATTAGGTGCATGTGCGGGTGAGGGTGCGGGTGCGGGTGAGGGTGCACGCATGTGAGTACTAATGCTCTATTGTAAATAAGAATAGAAAGGAGAAGTAATCTATCTAACTTACTCAAATAACAAAGTGCTTTCCAATGAACAGCCTTATTGTGATAATTAGGCCTGGCCTTTACAAAGGCAGAATCCACAAATTTCATTTCTGGACATGGTAACAATCTCCTTGCAACAGCTTAAGAATAAAGATGTCCTTTTATTTATTCCAGCCCAGTGTATAGAAAGAACAGGTTAAATCAAAGAACGTCTCTCCAGGATAACTTTGTACATATCAGTTATATAATGGCAATATGTCTTAAGTCTTGACTAGTCAACAATAACCTCAGTATTTTGGAGAATCACAAATGAAAAGATTATTGGTGCAAAGTCTGACAATTAATCAACTTCAGGTTTCAATGACTACCATAGTTAAAATGCACTTGCTTAGGAGTGGATACCTGACAATTTTGGTAACAGACATTTTTGTCAAAACAGAATACTCAGAAAGGGTGGATAGTAAGTTACATCATGTGTTTCATTGAGTCTCCTACCAAACTCATACCATCAGTATATCAAAACTTCTACTATTAATCACACTCCAGTATCATCTCACTTCCTAGCTCCTTCAAATCCTGATTGCACCTTTTAAGTTCTTCATGATTATTTTCAGAAATCTTTTTTCTACTGCCCAGCAGGAAGACTCTAATTGCAAAGTTAAAAAGGGCTGCAACAGGAATTGAATAACTGGTCTAGGGAAGATACTCCTCAATAAAAGATTGAGCAGCTTTCAAAGCGGTTGTCGAATATCAAATTCAGTGTGGTACCTCTCAATTCCTGACCCAATTGCCAAACATAGACTAGTCTTCAACAACTGTAAGGACTGGCTTAGACAAAACAAAACAAAACAAAAAAAAAACAGAGAATCTCGGTTGCAACTTGGTGATAGGAACACCAAGTCCTGCATGCAGCATTGCAGCACATAAATGACAATTCCAAGGAATATGATCAAGCACCTTGTTTCTTTAGTCAGATCATACAATGGTTACCGATTGCTGTCCATGGGAACAATAGCACCAAATTTTATGAAGAGTTATTCGACAAAGATCATTATGTGAATATACTTTCCAAGTTAGTGGTTAAGAGGCAGTTGACAGTGATGCGGAGAACTGACTTATTAGGGAAATATCAGCTAAATAGATTGAAGCAGCATTCTTCAAATAAACCCAGACAAAAGTCCAGAACCAGATGGCCATAGTGCAGCTTTCTTCAAGAGGAACTGGAATCAAGGATGTAATAACTGTCATTAAGTCCTTTTATTATTATTTTTTATTTTTTTGTCAGAAGGCTATTTTTATAGGAAGTTAATCATACATTCATCGTTTTGGTTCTTCTATATTCTATTGCAACTGCATTAGCTGATTTTAGAATGATCACCTGTCGTAACATCATCGTTTGTAAGCTCATTACAAAAATCCCAACCAACAGACTGAAGAATAGAGAGTAATTGGAGATTTAATATGTAATTGGAGATTTAATATCTCATATAGACTTGGATTTCAAAATAGGGGAAAATGGTAATTCATTTGAAACATCTCCCTTTCATACTAAAACCTTCCCACATACCATCTCCCACCATATTAGTTGATTCATCATTAGTTTCACTGACAAGCAACTCAATGTATCACAATAGAAAGCTAAGAAGACTATGCTCTATGTTAAACAGCTTATTAAACAATATTAAGATGCAACAATACCCA